AATATAATTATTTTCAGATATAGGGCAGAATGAACTCTGATCATCTTCTGACAATGATGTTCTAATACTCTGGGAAGAAGGAAACAGGTCTCCAAAGCAAGGAGAGGGAGCTCAAGATCAGAATAGGTTTCTTGTATGTAATCTGACTCTAGGTGATAATGTTATCAACAAATTACTCAATACCAGAGGTTTGAGACAAGAGCATGTGAAGGCATGGTAGTTGCAGTTGCTTGTCATCAGGGTTACTTTCTCCAACTTATGAAACATCTATAGATGCTCTTGTGAGCAATTGGAATATATTATTCCAGTAATTCAATAACTGCTCTCTGCCAATTTCCAGGGCTGGTATGGGCAGGATATTACAAGGCAAAGATGAAGAAGCATTACTTTCCTAATGACTTACTGATGTGTCAGTAGCTTAATCTCCCTCTTTGTGGCCCTCTGCCTGGCTGCTTCAGTCATCAACCTGTTTGTTCACTTACACCACCAAGGGATGTAAATTGTTGTGAGACATCTCACAATACCATCTACTATTCGTTGGTAGTGAAGTGAACAACCAGTACACCTAATCCACTTGAAGTCAATGGTGCTCTTAATGGCAGTTGTGATATGCTGCTCCACTGAATTGAAGTGGCCCACCTTTGCCACTATACACTCCATTAGAGTTACAGCAGTACCAACAGTCTCCACAAGCTTCTCAGAAGGACAGGTGAGAAACTGTTCTGTATCACTGCACTCCTTGAAATATATGAAGATAGCAGCACTTCAGATGTCAGGCATGTCTTGCATGCATCACAGCTGACACCTCGAAGAACCTGTCTGGCAATGGAACCGCTGATGTAGGCTACTGAGAATACTTCCATGTCTCCAGCATGTACTGCAGCACTTATGTCCTCCTGTACTTTCTGAGCAACATGGAAACTCTCAGGCACACCAGCAGGGGTTTCCTTGTCATGACTTGTGGAAGGATTTCGTGAAGCAACATCAGGTTCCCTGAGGAATGATTGTAGGTTATCCAGAAGAGTAGCACCATCATGCTCACAATTAGTTCCCCCCAGACATCTAAAAGCAAGGCCATTGATGATTTTAGTCTTCAAGGCATCTACAAACTGTCCCACTGTTGGGTTATTGTTAGAAACACAGTTCAAATGAACAGCCCCAAATGTGTTCTCAGGGATGCTGATTCAGGTTTCAGGTGTGAAGGTACTTAAAACCCGCCTTTCGCCTCCACCACCACCACGATGAACACCACCATGACCACGACCACCACAACCACGATAATCACCAACACAATGACTACATCCACCACAATGACCACCACAACGACCTCCACTTCCACAACCTCCACAACCCCCATGACCACCACCACCACCACCACAATCCATGTTCAATTCAACTTTCCAACTTTAAATTATCCCAAGAACATAGTTAAGCCATGCATATCCTGTTATGGGACACTCTCTATAATCAGGAACTGAAAACATTATTGAACACACCATGCATATGTTTAGTACTTGGACTGAACTGCCTGCACCACTTTGCTTGAAAGGCTCATTGTTACTCATCTGGCCAAAACATTTCTCATGTTGTATGGTACCTGGTGAGTTTCAAGCCCGATTAATCAGACGAATGCTGTTTTCTGGGATATTTCCACAGTCTGATTGATAGAAGCTATCTTCAGCTAGTAGGGCGAAGAGTACAAATTATGAAGCTCCTCATTATGCAGTTTCTCCAACCTCCTGTCACTTCATCTCTCTTCAGTTCAAATATTCTCCTCAGCACCATGTTCTCAGAAACCCTCAGTCTTATGTTCCTCTTTTAATGTCAGAGACAAAGTTTTACATCAGTACAGAATCACATGCAAAATTATGGATTAGTATATTCTAATTTCTATGTTTTTAGACAGCAGACGAGAAGACCGAACTGAATGGTAGCAAACATTCAGTCAAGAATTGATACAATAATAGACTCCTTCCACTGATCAAGCAAGTGTTCCTTATTCCATATAGAATTTATTAGCTTACAGATCTCAGAATGTAATGTTTCACCTCCTGCTTGAATAAATTCTGCCAGAATCTGAACAATACCTGGCGATTTATACATTTTCAATTTTGCAATAGCATTTTCAACCTCAAAATGGCTAGGATTGGGTACTAATGGCTCAGATGTATGTATTTCTGTCTGCCTAACATCACTGACCCTATGTACATTCAATAACAGACAAGTAGTTCTTCCACCTATTCAAAATGTTCTGGGAATCTGCAAGCAAGTCACCATTCTCATCCTTCACTAAGTTACACCTAGGTTAGTAACCCCTCTTAAATTCATTTATTTATATTAAGTTCATACATGTTGATGATTTACTGTATTTATATCCAAAGGAAAACTGGAAATCACATTATTAGCATTATGATGACTTTTCAGGAATGGTAACAAATGCATTAATATTTGAACTTACGAAGATAGTCATTAATAAAAGTTTATAAAATGTAGACAATACTTAAGCTTTCATGGAGACAGTGAAATCTCAGGCAGTCGGCTGTGTCAGTCACGGAATTGGTTTGATGTTAGAGATGCTGCCTCTGTCTCCATCATCAGGGGTTGACTGGTATTTAATTTGCACATATATATTGCTTGTGTGAGGGGTACAAAATTAGTTGGTGATAAAATACATTCAGGAAGGGCTAGTGCAAACATAAACTCAGAAATTTAGACAGTTTTAATTGTTAGATAAACAACAATAGATCTAAGCTGACTTGGGTGTAAAGCAACAAGAACTAGCATGGAAAATTTAGAACAAATTATACTGAGGCCACAGAAATAGATCCCATAAATCGCCCCCCCCCCCCCCCTGCTTCTCCAGCAGGAGATATAGAGGTAAAAAAAGTAATAGTAAAGCTATCCCTGTAACAGGCCGTGGAGGCCCATAGGGTTGTGAGACGTTGAGGGTCCCACATTATCTAGACAATCGGCTCACAGATAGCGGTAAGGTTGTCAGCCTTACGCGCCAGCCGCACTCTACTCTCCAGGAAAATTATTTAATTAATTCCTGGTACTCATTTCTGTTAGAGGCTGAGTCAACCCCAGAGCCATAGTGCGGCTGGAAGGATTAGGTCAATTGAAAAAATCCAATGACCTCATCGGGACTTGAACCCGTGACCTTCCGGCTTGTAGCATAGTGCCTCAACCAACTACGCTACTGCGTGGAAGGTGGAAGGTGTCCACCGAGAGGTTAGAACTCCTTCTGCTTTATATCTGGGACTTCCTGGGATCAAATCTTTGCCTGAAGATCGGCTATTCTGACATACCTTTGTAATTTTCATCAGCTCTTCCAGACAAATGCCGGGATAACACCCCGCCACTTCTTCCTCCCACCTCCCCTCCAATTCATTAATCAGTCTATCCAGCACCATTATGCATGAGGTACGAACAGCGGCGTTAACTAAATCACAAAAAAAATGGCCGCCTCCGGAAGAGCATGGAGCCCGAAAATTTACGTTTAAGTCACTGAAGATATTTCTACCTCCCGCTCTAGAGTATTCATGATGCAAGAAGAATTAAAAAAAAAAGTTTTAGTTTTGTATTATTTTACGCAAGGCCTCCAGTGACGAGATTAAGAATCCGTGGAGGCATGCCTCATTACCCTGAATTTTTTTCTGGAGGAGAGGATATTAGAGAGACGGATGGAGGCTCCGAGCGCCTTTATCCCCGGCATCCGTTTGAATTCTTTCCGTTGTCCCTGGTTCGGTTTGGAAATATCACGTATTATGCCCCATGCATTTCATTGCCATGTCCACATTTACCCACGATTTTGAAATTAGTTGTCCCGAACTGCCCCACTGATTGCTGTGAATGTTCGCACCTGCCTCCTTTTCAAAGCTAACCGGGTTTCTTTGAATAAAGCAGCACCAGGTGAAAACGTGATTGGTTTAGAGTCATCATTCCTAGAATTACACCGCTGTAAATACATTACATGCTGGCACTACACTAATGTTTCCGAACCGTATACAGCGGGCTACATTTTAGATTCAAGTACCCCCCCCCCCCCGCTCACCAATACTACAAACCACACAAAAACACGAGGACAGTTTAG